CTCCAATGGGGCAAGTATTTGTACTGTTTATTCCAAGTCTCCCAAGAAGCCTGCCTCATGGGGATTTACATACAGTGAGCTGCCTGTATTTATTTTACTTGAATCTTACTACAAAATTGAACTTAGAACTTCCAAGTTTAAAATGTGGAAATGAAAGCACTATGAGTAGCAATAGAGAGTGAGGTGCTAGCCTGGGCATGGTGGCACACACCTTTAATCCCAGCTCTTAGGAATCAGAAGCAAGAGGATCTCTGTGAGTTCAAAGACAGCCAGGGGTCCATAGTGAGACACCCTGTCAATCAATCAATCAATCAGTGAGTGAGTGAGTGAGTGAGTGAGTGAGTGAGTGAGTGAGTGAATGAGTGAGGTGCCTATAAAGGCACTCTGGGAATTAGGGAGGGAAAGAATTATACAAAAGGAAGTGATTTCTCCAGAAACTTCAGTGATACAACTTTAAAAGTTAAGTACAGTCAAAGCCATAGGATAAATCACTTGCATGCCAATATGTATTTAAAGGGAAAAAATGCAAGTTTTCTGGACTCCAAGGAACCCTCTTTCAGGCATGTGTATGTGTGTGTTACCTTCACTAAAGATAGGAGTTCATGTACAGAGTTAGCATGATCCAGTGTCTCAACATTGCTCAGCAGGCATTTTATTCTTCAGGACATTAAAGTCAGTGTTGTAAAAGTACTATCTCCTTAGTATTCACCCACAAAGATGAGTGAATACAAGCATCAGACAGGATTTTAGCCCACACTTATTAGTGGGATCACTGACTCATGAACAAAGAAAATCACACCATTTTCAGGATGAGTCATCATTTGGTGCTTTCAAGAACCAAAGCACCCTTTTGAGACATGTGATTGAAATCTTTGCTCCATACCTATCTAAATTCAAAGGATGCTTATCAAATCGTATACTACCTTGAGTTCAGTAACTTATTTCTAAATGTCAGCAAATCATCAGGAGTTAGAAATAACCACTGCTTTATTCCAACCTGAATTAAACAGGGTGAAAAGCTTTTCTCCTGGCAACTGTTTTGTTGCCCTGTGCATTTCTCATGACTGTGGCTCTGGGATGCGTGGCTTCTTTTGGGTGCCCATCAACAGGTGCACCGCTCCTTTAGACTCCCCGCCTTCCTATGCACCTTGTCATCCACAAAGCAGAGACAAACAGAAAGCAATTTGAGCTTTCCTTTCCTACCGGTTTCCCCTCATGTATTATCAAAAGTTCCCACAAGGTGGCAGAAGTGTAACGTGTTGAGATTGATGAGCCTCTATTGAGACTGATTTTTTTTTTTTTTTTTTTTTTTTTTTTTTTTTTTTAAAAAAAAAAAAAAAAAAAGAGGGAGACCAGTGCTTTCAAAACACAGGAAAAGCATCAAATGCTTGGAGACTTCTCTCAGGCTCACATCAGCTGACAAGAGAAAGACTCATATGGCCATGCTTTAACCATTCCTCTCTCCTCCCACCTCTCAGCTTAGATTTCTGTGACTACTGGGTTGAAAATGTCCTTACTGACAAAATCACTTCATTCTCTTGTAAAGCATAGGTACTTTCTAATACCTCAAAGGCGCCCCCCTTCAAAAAGCTGGGAAAATGAAGCTGAAGATGCCTGAGCCCAAGCAGGCAAACCTCTGGACTGTCACTGCTCTCTACCCATCCTAGTATCAGTTTCTCCTGGGGAAGTTGATGTGGCAAGATGCAGTCAAACCATGAGAGAGATCTCGACTTGTAGCAAAATATGACTCTACTAGAAGTTAGAGAGTTTTCTTACCATTTAAATGCTAAGAGAGATGCATATTAAAAACCCAATATACTCAACACTTCTCTGTCCTTTTCCAATGACCAGTTTAATAAAAGAAGACAAGAGACATTTTATCATTTATTTAAAGTACTATCCAGAGTATCCATCCTGTTTGCAAGTTGATGGTGGTGAGACTCTGCTGTTGTGGCTTTATACATTGAGATGGTCTGTTGGAGCAATGGATAGGCTTCTTCCTGCTCTGTCCTGCGCATTGAGCAATCTGAGGGCACAGTTGTACTAGCCAGTCAGTCTTCTGCTTGCTTCTCAAATTCTGCCCTGTGCAGAAGTGAAGCCGGATCTTTTGCAGGTGATCTTACTCTTGCTTAAGTGAGCATGCTCTAAAATGATGCATATGTCAAAGGACCCTAACTAAACCCCTGTCCTCTTCTGATTAAAAAATTTTCTAAAATGACTCAAGTGAGACCCTTTCCATCTAGAAAATCCAATGATATGGAGCAGAGGGCTGCTGCTTAGCTTAGATACTGTTTGGCAAATACCTGCCCACCAACAGGCAAAGTGATGGTAATTCAGCTATGATGTATTTAAAACAAAAACTCTTCACAACATACTATCAGTCAAATTCCTAATCTTTACAGCGCTCATCCTGATAGTCTTAAAAATCCTATTAGAATGTGATTTATACTAAAATATTATTTTAGATTGACATTTGTATATAGTAAATGAATTAAAAGCATTCTACTGGCAGATTACTTCTGGCTGTACATTATTGTTCCCTAATTCCTTGGGCTCCACTGACTTTTTCAATCACTCAGCTTTCAGAACTAAAGATTTAGAGAGGTTTTGGTGAAATTCTGTCCCCAAAGAACAGACTTCTTTCAGGGAATTCTGAGGAGGACTGCATGCTACATGTTAAAGTTCCTCTGTATAGTAAATATCATCACAAGAGTCTGATAAGTGATACCACTACTATTAATAGCCTAGGGAGGACTGAGCCATTAAGCCACATACGGCTTTCCATTTGGGCTTTCTTTGTTGGCCTTGTACAAAGGAAGTTGTTGTTGCGACCTGTGGATGGCATTATCCTGCCCTTCCCACTGGGTATTGCATAGCTGTATGAATTTCAGGTAGTCTTCCCTTTATAACGGACTATCCAGGAAGAATAAAGGAATTACTTCCATGCAGACCAATTTTATGGCTTTTAAAACACTTTGAAGCCCTTTTACCTGCTGGGGCAGAATGTTGCGTTTGACTAAGCTCAAGAGAAAAGAGAACAAGATTTTTTCTCACATAAAAGTGCCCCGGTTGCTGATGAGTCATGTCTGAGTACTCTATTTGAGAAGAGCGCTCTTCTTCAGCCCTGGGCTGTTTGGGAAGCTCTGCTGAGTCAGCACTCTCTGGGGCAGCACCCCTTCCACAGCTACTAAGCTTCTCTCTGAAAAACAGATGTATTAGTGTGAGGGCTGTGTCGCTGTTATGATTTCTAACACACTGTATGTTCTAAAAGACTTCTTCAGCCACCTGTACCTCAAGCTATCTTGTGAAAATAGAGACCAAAGAAAAGATTTGTGGCTTTGGTCATAGGAGGAGCCTTGACTGGAGCTACCCATTACAGTAGCCAAATATGATCCAAGTCACCAGGATTAGTTATATAATCGGTGAGACGCAGTGGAAAAGGTAAACGCAGGGTCACTTCATCAAAAACTACTACAAATTTCCAGCACATCTCTGTACCTAGCTGTCCCTCTCAAGCACCCTAGGAAGCTGATCTTTGAACAGCAGCAATGGAAATGGTGTATGGTGGGTTGCAGGTTTTTTGTTTTTTTTTTTTTTGTTTTTTTTTTTTTTTAAGTGCTAGGTTGCCTAGCAACTGGCTAAGGACCTGAATGGACTGACTGCAGGTTTAGTTACACCATCTTGAAAGTCTAAATTTGTGGCAACCTTCTAGTGGACTGATAATTTCCAAGGAAAAATAATAGAGTAGGAGATGGGGAGGGGAAGAAGGAATACATTTTTATACTCTCGTAATCCAAGTGGCTGTCACGTCATTATTTTCTGTTACATCTTCTAAGAATAAAACTCTTCATCGAAAAAGTGAATGTGAAAATGAAATTGCAGTTTCCTCAGGAATACAAATGTTTTTCCTTAGACTAAAATATGAACGTATTGATAAATTTTGGAACACATTCACTTAGCAATTCAAGAATATGATAAAGGAAAACTCGTTCTAATTCACTGAGCACTTAATAAGTACTTATTATGCTGCAGATTACAGAGATGAATAAGGTAGGTTTCGGTGTTAAGGAATTCAAAATTGTTCAAGGACATGAAGGTAATATAAAAAAGAATTAGACAACAGTGTTAGCTATTTAAAGAACAAAGTCTTTGATCTCTCTACTCTTCATGTTTCACAGGGCCCTTGTGTTGCAGAATCAGAACCAACTTTTCTAACAGGAAGCAAGCAGTTCGGGCTATCGAAAAACAGCCACATTGCCATTGCATTTGATGATACCAAGGTTAAAAATAGGTATGTGTTATTCTGAGATATGCCGTAAGAACTGATCACTGAAATATTGAATATTCACATTTAATCAAGCCTAATCAACTACATGAATTAATTACTAATGTTAGAGGTTTGTTTTTGTTTTTTAAATTCACTAAGTAGAGAGTAAAATTCTGATTGCTGGGTCTGAGCTCAATTGCAGGAGATCCATAACCCAAAAATATCCTCCGGTCACAGATTTGACATTCTTTATGAGCGCACCTCTGACTTGACACCACTCTCTCTTAGCCTAAGAATACTCTTATTTTTCTACTTCCCTTTTCACATTTGTATTTCACAGCCTCACAATTGAGCTGGAAGTGCGGACGGAAGCTGAATCAGGCTTGCTTTTTTACATGGCTCGGATCAATCATGCTGATTTTGCGACTGTTCAGCTGAGAAATGGGTTCGCCTACTTCAGTTATGACTTGGGAAGTGGCGACACCAACACCATGATCCCTACCAGAATCAATGATGGCCAGTGGCACAAGGTAACAGTCCCCAGGATGTGGGCAGTACTCTTAGGGTCCTGGGTGGCAGTGGTGGGGCTTCCCCTGACATCACTATTTTGCCAAGGCAGACCCGAACTCTGGTGTTGCTGAAATGTGGCAGAGATTGAAAGTAAAGCCAGTGCTATATACAATGGCCCAACCTTGGAGAATGTGCTTAGATAGACCTGTCTAGGTTTCTGTTTGACCACCTCTGAGCCTCATTATGACACCACGGGGTTCTGTCATTGTTATATAGCTGGTGATTCCCAAACATCTGTCCACAAATGAGAGCCAGGCAGTTCAAGACAGTTTAAGTGAGAATTGTCTGACAATTGTGTTAATCATAACGCTCTTGGTATTCAGCTTGCAAAATAATGGTTATTTTTTCTAAGATTATGCCCTTTTTGTGTGTGTTTTTGAGACATGGTCTCCCTGGCCTGGAATTCACTATGTGAATTGGGTCAGCCGCAATCTCACAAAGATCCTCCTGCCTCTGTCTCTGGAATGCTGGGACTAAAGGCATGCACCACGTGCCCGGGTTACCTTCCTATTTTTAAGGTGTTAGACCCCTCTATTAAGAAATAACATATGGCCAGAGTAAAAGTTAGCAACATTAAGATGAGCCCTAAGATCTACCCCTCACCCTATCACATCTGAAAACTAGGAGTCTAAAAATTTCTGCAATATCATGTTTAAGGGACCCCAAGGTACCATTTCTACCAACAGTCATTTGGAACAAGTCTAAATATTGGCCTTACACCCAGAAACTGCTGCTGGTACAGGCACAGAAGGCTCATTTGCCAACTTACTCTTCTGTTTGGCATGCCTGCAAGTAGATAATATATAGTCTGATTAAAATAAAACCTCAAAATTTGTCTCCACACCTGTGATAGCCTATTAAGTAAAGTTTCCCTAGGCGGACCAATAAAATGTTTAATTTTTAGAGTGCAATATTATTAGATGTTGGATTTGTATATTAACCTACTTTGGCTTGTCATATCATATAGAAAGCCAAAGAGCCCAAAGGAAAAAAAAATTACAATGCAAACCCCAAGTCAACTAGTTTGCTATTTTGGAAGTAAGAAATGAAATCGTCTTATTTGCTTGGGATCATTAAGTAGTTCCTGGTGAAAGAGTTCTCATTAAAGTTTATTCTTTTCTCTGGCTAATGGAATAATAAATATAGTACTTGCAGAAAAAGACCTTGATAGGCCACAATGATGTTAAATTAAAAAAGGGAATTTGTACTCAAAAGACCAAAAAAAAAGGGGGGGGGAATTTGTATAGAATAATTAGCCTTAATATTAAGGACAGATTGTATCTGTGAATGTTTTAGAAAATTCCTTCCTAAATCAGAATATATGTGTATAAAATGAGGTGTTATATTATTCTAATCCTAATGGAGCTTCTTTACATCACGTTGTTGCACCCCAGCATTTCACAGGCTTGCACAGGCCTTTTGCTAGTAGATGCAGACTCAACCCAGCCCTCCCATGCCTCACCTTCTCTCACACTGTCCTGAAAAGTCATTCGCTCCTGTCATAATTTCAGCATCACTCAGGTTTGCATCCTCCTCCCAGACTTTGGATCAACTAAATGCTAAAGAAATGGGCAAGACCTCCCCTCTGCCCAGCCATCCCTTTAATTTTATACAAGGAGGGCATGGTAGACATATCCAATGCCTACTGGGCAACCTCTAAAAGCAGCCAGGAAAATTTGTATTCAAAGATAAAGTTTGACACACTCTGTAAAATCAGTTTATTTTAGCCGAAATTATGGACTTAGCACATAAATGCTTGTACTTTTCCTTGGAAATACCAGGAAAGTTCTTATATCTTAGCTTTTATTCAACATTGGCATTAATGATGACACTTGAATTTTGTAGATTAAGATTGTGCGAGTTAAGCAAGAAGGAATTCTTTATGTAGATGATGCTTCTAACAGAACCATCAGTCCCAAGAAAGCTGATATCCTGGATGTTGTGGGAATGCTGTACGTTGGTGGGTTACCAATCAACTATACCACACGAAGAATTGGTCCAGTAAGTGTCTGATTCCTTGTTGTCTATTTGGTGGAGCTATTGAATTGTGAATGCAGTTTTTTAATGACTAGGTTCCAAGGTCTCATGATTGCTTATAGCTGGATAGGAAACCGTAACTTCAGAGAAATGGCAGGAGGTTTTCCAGGCAGACTTGACTGAGACATCATATCACAGAGCACTGAGGTGAACCCTCGTGTCCAGCATCCTTAGTTTGAATATCTGCTTACCTACTGATCAGCTGTGTGATCTTGAGCAAGGTATTTCACCCCTTTTTAAATAAGTTCCCTGTCTTTCAAAATATGAAAATTATAATACCAATAAATAGAGTAAAAATTATATGAGATAATATAAGGTATTTGGAAAAGAGCCAGATATATGGAAAACACTGGAAACAAGGAAGATGAAGGTGATGGTATTAATGGTGTCAGTTCAGACATCTTAGGAGATGTAGCATTTAATGAGCAACTATCAAATTTTTACTTTAAAATTTTACTTTTTATTTATTTAATTTTATTTTATGTGTATGAGTGTTATGTCTGCATGTATGCAAATGTACCCATGTCCCACAGTGCCCCCAGAGGCCAGAAGAGGGTGTCAAATACCCTGGAATTGGAGTTGTGGACAGTTTTTAGCTGACCTGTGGGTTTGGGGATTCTGGATCTTCACCAAGAGCAGCCAGTGCTCTTAATCACCACTAAGCCATCTACCCCATCCTGACTTTAGAATTTTAAATCTGTGTAATTTTATAAACTATAATTTACAGGTTATTTTTTAAAACTTTTTTGATATCCTGGTTTGCTCTGGAAAGCATTATTCTGATAAGCAAATGGAATTAGGGTTTTTAAAGACTTCTTCACTCCAAAACCCTTGTTCCATACAGTTGCAGTGCTCAGCATTTTTTAGTGTGTGAATAATCCATGACACCTTCCATAACTATTGGAGATGCTGTCTTTCAAAAACAACAGTCTTTGGAGTGATAGTAGCAAAAATGATCAACTCAAATGTTTAAAAACCCAAGGAACTATAGAAGAACAGGGTATATGATTGAGTTTTCTAAATTCTGTCATCCCCAAAATATTTTATGAAAACTTTCAAATTTATATATATATATATATATATATATATATTCCATATGTATATATTCTTAGGGGAGGGTCAACTGATTTCATTAGGTTTTCAAAAGGGAGACTCACTGAATGAACGCTAATTATCTTTTTCTAGTAGAAATTGAACATAGATCACAAAGAAATGTATTTATATTGAGGTTAACAAGTCACCCATTCAAACATAAAATCAGGAACATAAAAGACTAATCAAAAGTTATGATCGTGATATAGAGCCTATAGTTCCATCAACTCAACAGAAACAGAGTGGAAACAGTATTTAGAATGTCAGGCCATCATAGTACTGGCTAGATGCATCCTGATAGAAAAGCTTGACATAGGACTTTTGGCCCCTGTGCTACAAAAGTCTGGAGTGATGATTCAGACCAAGGCAATTATGAGGAATGCTCTAAGACAAGTGGCTGATGGTCATCAGTTTGTAGTCTCTGTGCATAGAATACCCCACAAATGATTGTACTACACACAGAGGCAAAGCTTTGCTAAAGTTGGCATTACTTTCTTCTCACCTGAACACTTAGGTGACCTACAGCATTGAGGGCTGTGTGAGGAATCTCCACATGGAACAGGCCTCTGTTGATCTGGATCGGCCAACCTCCAGCTTCCATGTCGGGACATGCTTTGCAAATGCTCAGAGAGGAACTTATTTTGATGGGACGGGTTTTGCCAAAGCAGGTGAGGCTCTTCCGCTTCCTTCCTGTTCACTCTATATTAATGCCAGCTTCTTGCCTGTGCCAAAAAATAAAAGTCCTCTTGGGTCCTAAAGTGGTACTTATTTTATTTAAAACAAAAGTAAGTTTCTGTAAGTAACAACAAGAGCATCTCTTGGGCACGTGCATATGGTGGTGGGAGTGGCAGCTGTAGCCCAGTGCGAAAGCACTTGCCTAGCCTGGATGAGACCCTAGACTCAATCTCTAGCACAGCCAAAGAAAACTAATAAAATTTTCAAGTATTAGATTCCAATAAGAAATAAAAGAAAAATGTAAAGTTGAAATAGAGCTATTTAGAAAGTCAACTATTTTCTTCTCTATCAACAGCAGCAAAATGAATGCAATTACATACGAAGGCTCATATGGGATGTTTCTACTTTTCAGGTCTCTCTGTCTACCCTTTTACAGATGAAATATCATTTTTCCTTTCTTCCTTTGCTTTTTTCTCTTTTTTTCTTTGTTTAATATTGCATTCATTTTTATTTCATGTGTATGAGTGTATTGCCTGCATGTATGTAAGTGCACCCATGTCATGCAATGCTCACAGAGATCAGAAAAAGGTGTTGGATCCCTGGAACTGGAGTTATGGATAGTTGTTAGCTACCATGTGGGTGCTTGGAATTGAGCCTAAGTCCTCTGCAAGAGCAACCAGGGATCCTAACCACTGAGACATCTCTCCAGCCCCTCCTTGCAATTCTTTTCAAGGTCCCACTTCATCTCTCTCTCATACACACACAAAGCACACACACAGTACACACACAGTGCACAGACAGCATATATATATAACACACACAGCACACATAAACAGCATACATACACAACGCACAAACAGCAAATGAACACAGCATCCACACAGAGTGTACATACACACAAGCACAGCAAATACACAGCACAGTGCACAAACACAGTATCCACACAGAACACATGCATCCAAAACACATTTGCAGCACACAAGGTACACATACAGAGTATACACAGTATGCAGAGACAACACATTGAGCATACATATACACAGCAAAAAAGGCATATATGGCATACACACAGCACAGAAAACACACACACACACACACACACACACACACACACACACAAACCCACTAGTGTCTGTTTCTTGTTGACAGTGATGATAGATGGCTTTTCCCCCTAGCTTTAGTATTTCTTCTTACCTCATTTCCTGGTCTGAATTACTAATCTTGAACATCATGTTGGAAAGGAAAAATAGGAACTAACCTCTACTAAATTAAGTAAAAAACCTTATATTAGCATACTATAAGACATAATACTCAGGACTATAGGTTTTGAGCCATGTCTGTTTTTTCATTAAAAACAAATTAATGAGCACACAATGCATGGGAGCTAAATATGGGAAACTGGTAAGTGAAATGTGATCTCTTCCTTTAAAAGTATATTATCAATAAGAAAGGCTCAATTTGCTGAGAATAACAAGAGGGAAAATGATTGTTAAAACCTTTAAAAGACACAAAGTGTTCTGCCAAGCTATAGGCAATTTGCTTGGCTTCTGCCTTCCAAGGCTCAGGGATCATTGCAGAAGAGGGGGTGGAAAGATTGTAAAAGCCAGGGGTAATAGAAGACCACAAGGAAATAGTTTCGCAGACAGCTGGGTAGCTACTCATACAAACACACAGTGATGGTGACAGCATGCACAAGGCCCATGTAAGCTCAAGCCAGACGAAACCCCAGCATAGATGTGGGGAAGTGGTAATAAGCCACAGCCTTAGCTGAGAAAGTATGGGCAACAGAGGGCTGTTAGGGAGAGAGTCAGTGCTGTTTAAGGATATAACTCTTAGTAGGTTTACCAGGTTTCAGTGGTTGGACCCACACTGAAGGGCATTTGGGGACACAAATTTGACTCTACAGACCACATATATATGTGTATGTGTGTGTGTGTGTGTTTACACATCTACAATATATACATTATATATTAAGTATATATAATACAGTGTGTATATATAAGAGTATATATAATAGTGTGTATATATAATAAACTATATATTCAAGAGTGTGTATATAAAATAGAGTACATATAGTAGAGTACATTAAATTGGGTATGGTAGTAGTAAGGGCATGCAGATTGAGGAGATCTAAATATGATCAAAGTATATTGTATAAGTTTGCAAAAATCCAAGTAAAAAAGAAATTTGTTTGGAAATCAAAAAAGTTTTCATGGAGAAATTGACATTTGAATAAATCTGTTATATCAATTGAACACTCACATGCAAAAATTGTGGAAAGTGGAAGGTTAGGAACCTACAACAAAGTCTAAGGAGGACACCTCACTTATGCAGAAGCAGGTCAGAAAAACGGGATATGTTAACTATGGAAGCACTGGGGGTAATGCTGAACCCCAAAGTTCATGTGCTGTGAAAGTCGAAAGCTTCCCCAAGATTTTCACAAATTCACAGATGGCTAGTGTGTTCTTGGTCAGATTAGATGCCAAGCTTCAGCTTCTGTGGCTAATGGATTGACTTCCCATCCTGCCTGGCTCTTGGTACTGGATCCAACTCAACCAAAAAATCAATCACTTCTCCAATTTCCAACAGCTCCTGTGATCACTTCAACTCACAGCATAATACAATTTCCATAGCATTTGGGTAATCAGAGTTGCAGATTACCTTGGTGGAAAACATGAAAGTTCAATTTAACCTTTCTTTGTTCTTAAAAGCTTTCCAGCCGCCCTGTTAATGGAGACTTAATTGACTTCCTCACTACCTCCCTCCTTGGCCAAAATGTTTCATAGTCATTCCTTTCTTCCCTTTACTTCTCCTTTTCTGTTTTATTTTCCAGAACAATGCAGCTCCTTCTACCCTTTACTTTTAAGTTTTGCTTTAAATATAGCCATCCTGGCCCATCTAAATTCATCAAAGTCCCCAATAGAGCAATAAGACTTTCATATGACAGGTGCCCCCCTTCGTTGGGGACAGTTGTGGTGACATGTGGTTATTTATTTCTAGCCTAATACATAGAAGACAGAGAAAATTTTTCTGAGTTCTTTCCTAATCTGTGGCTTTCATTCATGTAGTCTAGGCTGATCTTAAATCATTTTATGCCTAAGTGAAATATCTTATACACCTACTAAAGGTTAAATAAATCAATGAATCAAATATTGAAAATACAGAGAAAAGAATTAACTGAATAAGCTAGAAAAGTCTATTTATGTGCCAGCATCTTCCCACCAAAGTTATATTTGCAATTTCTTTCTTCATGTAATAAAATATGTAGGAACATTTAAGCCCCTTCAGATCACTATGGTACCAGAATGCCTTGATAAAATTTTACTGAATAATCATTGAAATGCTTTACGTAATCCAACCGACTTCTAAACCAATCAGACCTGGCTTTGTGGGACTCTGAGTCAATCTCAGTCCTCATTCATTCAGCTATCCAGTGAATATATACTAAACCTCCACTATGAGGCATATACTTTGGCAGGTTCATGAATGAAATGATGAGCCATATAGACAGAGTCCCTGCCCTCTAGAAGTGAAAGCAATCAAGGAAATAAGCAAAAACTATAAAGTCCATTACAGACACAATTGCTGAAGGTGCAAATTAAAGGCAATAAATCCAACACCCTCATCCATTTTTTAATGTTTGTTTTGCAGTTGGTGGGTTCAAAGTGGGATTGGACCTTCTTGTAGAATTTGAATTCCGTACCACTAGACCCACTGGAGTTCTCCTGGGAATCAGCAGTCTGAAAATGGATGGAATGGGTATCGAAATAATTGATGAAAAGGTGAGTGTCGGCAACACTGCACAGCTGAGTGTCTCATGACATTGATGCTCATACGCACACATCTGTTTTGAAGTCTCACTGGTTTCTTCACTGGGAGAAAACCAGGTTGTATCTTCTCTTTCTTCTGGGTTATCACAATTTCTGTGATGACCTCTTTTGTCATCATTATCCTGTGGAACAGTCTATATGTGAAATGCAGTGCAGTAATGCTACTAGTAGCAACACAATAGTGCTGAACTGTTATGGATCATGCGGTTTTGAATCCCAAGCTCCTGCTGCTATTTAATCTGTGCACATAGTCTACAAAGCTACCCATGCAGAGGGAGAAAAGGAGAAGCATGGGTCATCTGCCTTACAACAGGTAGACATCTCTTAAAAGTCAGTGTGGCCAGCCAATATACCAGCTTCCCAACTTTTCACTTACAAACTTCCAAATACTATTTCTAAAGAACAAAGTTATACAAGTATTTTGTCAGTTTACTTACAATGGATAACCTGATTGTAGACACCTTCTTATCCCTAGCTACAGATGAACAGTAGCCCGGAGGGAGATGTTTATGTGCTTTGCACTGTTAGAGTAGATAAAAAGAGGAGATGAAGCAAGAAACTTCCCAGAGTTTCCTATTCGGCTCTTTTGTAGGAATTACACTTCAACCGCTCCCATGTTTCCACCCTGGGGGTGCTGGTGCTGCTCAAGGAGAAAAGTTATAAAGTGTCTACAATACCCTTTCCTTGATTCTCCTCCTTATTTCTCAAACCATCCAATAAACAACACAGAAAAAATATCCAGGAGCTTATAGGCAAAAATGATTTCAAATGAATGGAAAGCAGAACTCAATAGTTTTGTCAGATTTTAAAAACATATATTCACATTCTTTTTCAAGCGTCCCCACCTGCTTGTAACCAATTTCCAGCTGCATGACACTGCCACGTGACTTCTCACCAAGCTCTTTTTATGCACAAAATGCTGTTCTCTAGACAAAGCTCAAAGACTTACATCACTGTATAATTCACAAACGTTTCACCTATTTCCTTGCATTATTAACCTTTTTTTAAAACAACATATTTCTTTTCTTTTACCCTGTTAAGTTGTATTGCCAAGCTGACTAATGTTTTTAATATTTCTGCATGGTCTTTTTCATCAGCTTCAAAAGGATTCTGATGTCTCAAATTTCAGGGACCGTGCTGCATTACTAAAAACAGATTTTTCTCATTTAAAAAGAGAACTTCTAATCAAGTTCTTCCTTGTTGGGAATTTAACTGGCCTTTTGGCTCAGGTCTTTGGCACCTGTGACCCGAAACTTGCCCCCAAAAAAGTAATTTATGTAACTCTTGGTCCTAAAGAAAATGAAAACCATGAAGAAGAAAAAGTGCAATTAAAACATCAAAAGCTTAAATTTAAAAACAATTCTTTAAAAGTAAACTTATAAGCCAATTAATGAGTCACTTTAAGCAACATCTCTCTAGAAAGTTTCATAAAGTTCACTACGAACCCTCACATTCTAAAGAGATATGTTATGTAACAGAATTTTTCTGTGTGGATTAGGTTCCTTTTTGTTGCCTGACCTCATTTTTTTCTAAAGGGAGAACCAACATCATGTACCTTGCCTACTAACACTAGCAATGCCCAAGAGGGAAAAACAAGACTTGTGAGTAGGTCTCAAGCTTAAATTTTGCATTCTGATTTCTGTCCAGTACCTTTGTGTATGTATATACGTGTGTGCACGCACATGCCTGCATGTGAGCTATTTACCTTTTTTGAGACAGTCTCTCACTGCCTTGGAACTCACCAGTAGGCCAGACTTGCTGGCCAGTGAGCCCCAGGGATCTGCCTTGTCGTTTTGAGATGACAGGTGTTTGCTTTCCACATCCAGTTCTTTCACAAGGATTCTGGAGATGGAACCCAGGTCAACAGGAATTGTGCTCATATTTCTACCCGTGGGGTGTTAGAGTTACCACAGAATAAACACCTTTCTAAAATGCCCTTCCCTCGCCATCCTCTCCTTTCCCTATTCTTCAGACCTTCCCATACACACACACACACACACACACACACACACACACACACACACATCCAAGAACTTAAAGGTAAAAGGATGAAAAAATGAACTGAATGAATGAGCAGAACCTGTAAATAAAGTACAAGGAAAATACCTTGCCAACAGAAGTATCTCCCAGACCCTATTTTTGTACAGATTAAATATATATATATATATATATAATAGGCACCAAGTGTGTTCATTTCAAACGAGTCCTGCTGATGTCTTTTCTAGAGGCCTGGTAGTTGTCACTGTGTGAACTGCTGAGCCTCTCCTCCGCTGAAACCATCTGTGACTGTCCATCTCCTTGCTCTCTAGCTAATGTTCCATGTGGATAATGGCGCTGGTCGATTCACTGCGGTCTATGATGCTGGAATCCCAGGGCATTTGTGCGATGGACAATGGCATAAAGTCACTGCCAACAAGATCAAACACCGCCTTGAGCTCACAGTAGATGGGAACCAGGTGGGCTCCCAAAGCCCCAACCCAGCATCAACATCAGCGGATACAAATGACCCTGTTTTTGTTGGAGGTTTCCCAGGTGAGTGTTAGCTGCTCCAGCAAACACATCTTTGCTCATTATGTTTGTGGTTTTAAACATTTACATTTATATCACCATGTCCAAGAATGTGTACTTAAGGATATTTACTTCCCTGCCTTATAATTTCCTCCCATAAATAACACTTGACTGTAAAATGAGAGGACTACTTATTTAAACCACATGGGACTGAAATTTTCATGATTCTCCACTCCCCTCCCCCAAAGTTTCATCCATTGGGAGGCAAAAGCTAGAGGAAATGAATTTGCCTCATAAAAATATGAGACAGGGGCTAGAGGATGGTTCAGCAGTTAAGAGCATTGGCTATTCTTGCAGAGGACCAGGGTTTGATTCCCAGCACCCACATAACCACTAACAACCTTCCATGACTCCAGTTTGAGAGAATCCAACACCCTTTGGCTGACCTCCCCAGGCATTGCACGACAAGGGTACACTTACCTGGATGCAAGCAATACACTCATACATGTACAATAATAATAAATAAAATATTTTAAAATATATGAGACATTTAACAGCATCTGAGGACAGAGTTGGATTTTTTTTCTTATTTCTAAAATTACCATATAAAAGAAATCATAAAATGTTGTGGAACATATTTTCTCAAATTCTGGAATTCATTGGCTTAAATCTATCTAATTTTCCACATAGGTAAACATAAAGTATATATTTATATTACAAAGAAACCCAGACAATAAATCTGTACTCAGAATCCTTCTTTAACACACTTACAGCACATTAAGCTCAGAGTTGCCCATATAGAACCCATGAACAAGACAGGCCAGCTTGATGCACACTCATACGTACTGCAAGGACACAGACCCTTAGAATGGTCATTCACCATTTTTAAAGAGGAACTTCTGTCCTCATTTATACAAAGCCTCTCTGCTTAGGAAAACAAGCATAAGGTGTAGTATTTGGCATAGGCTGACAGAGTGAAACGAATTAAAGAAGAGATTGAGCACACCTCCTTCCACGGTTGGTTTGGGTTTTAAAAAGATCTACTCCTTCAGTCGTGATCAGACCCACAACATTTTGAAAGAGGCAGTGTCCACTCCTGGCCTATGAACTGAGACCATCATTAGCATGTAGTTGTCCTGTGCCAGATGGACCCCCTTAATAAAAGAACATTTTATGTAGGCTTCCAACCAATAGGCAGAACATTTGGGAGGTTTAGTTTTTCGAGGTAAGAAAATTATAAAGTCACCTGAAAATTTCATGTCCTGATTCAATATTTGAAGTGTTTTGTCAGTTACTTTGTTTTATTAAATAAAATGCTACAGAATTTATTTGGTATTTTGTGGTGGTGTTTAGTTATTTACCTATTTATTAACTTTCTTTGTTTGAAACAAGGTCTTACTGTGTAGCCCGGGCTGGCTGGTATTACAGGCCTGGGCCTGTACCGCCACATCTAGATACAATTGCATAGTTTGAATTTGTGCCTTTAAATGTGTTCTTACCAAATTATTTGTTTGATGCCTTAAAATGCATAATTTTAGAAGTTTCCATATTTTGTAACATGTAACTATTACGAAGTTGATAATTCTCTGCAAATCTGTTAGAAATTTCTAAACAAAATCACCAAGTTTGCCTAAGACAGTGCTCCAGTTTAATCTCAAACCGACAGTTGAGTTGAAAGCATGCTCTTTACATTTAACGGATCTTTCAAACTGGAGCCCTAAGGGAGTTGGATCAGAGTCCGGGGGTAGAGTGCTTGTCTAGTGTGCATATCGTTTCTTGGAGAAAACAAAACCTGAACCCTGTTGCTCTGTCTTTTCAGATGGCCTCAACCAGTTTGGCCTGACCACCAACATTAGGTTCCGAGGTTGTATCCGATCCCTGAGGCTCACCAAAGGCACTGGCAAGCCACTGGAAATTAATTTTGCCAAAGCCCTGGAACTGAGGGGTGTTCAACCTGTATCATGCCCAGCTGACTAATAAACAGAAGTACAACCCCGAGATGGGTCCATCATAAAAAGTATATTAAGTAAAACTATGTATTTACCTATGCATATTAATAAACTAATGTTTGCATATATATAATATATAATTCCTTCTGTATTCAGATGGTGCTAATTCAGAACCCAGATTGAATTTTAATCTACGTTTTCTTTCAAGCTTGTGATTATTAAACCAGTTATTTCACTCTAAATAACTGCTTGTTTTGTATGATTTTTTTAAAGATAAAAGGCAACTGATCATAAATTGAATCTGAAACATACCCTGGAGTCATCATTAAAAAATAAAGAGCTCAGATAAAATTTGTAAAGGGAACTTTTTTTAAAAAAGCAAAAAACTTGCCTCCATTAATATTTTTATCCTTCTCCATGTATGTTGGCTTTGGCTTTCTGTTCAAGTCACTGAAACAAGTGGATTTTTCACTTGTGATTGTGAGACAGTCAGCTCCCTCACTCCTGTGTTTGCAAAAGCATTAGCAAACCATTTTCCTGATTCAAGTTCATTATTAGAGCATTTAACTAGCCATGTGAGTGATTACCTTTTCATGCCGAAGGTTGATAGTATAGATCAGATTCAGGCCAGAGAGCTTAATTATTTGATTTTCTTGTTTGATAATGATTTATAGGCTTCCAGGAGAAGCCAGAACTAAGCTGTTGAATGGCAGTGGAGCCCAGGCACATGCTACTAGATTGAGGAAGTGGGCTCTTTACAAGTAGATGTCACAATCTATAGTCACATGAAGAGAAAGCGTGATGAAAGGCATCTGTACTTACCAGGAGACAATCCACTAGCACCTCAAAGACATGCTTCATTGAATCTTTCTAAGTTGTAATCTGACCTAACAAATTCATATCCTACAAAAACCAAAACAATTCTGTATTTTATCTTTCTGTTCAACTATCTTCAAAGGGGTCTGAGAACCAATAATTGCCTAGATTTGACTCACGTCTACAAGGAAACGTTTCATTTGCAGAAGAAATAGTTGTCTTCTAATAATTTAGAACATGTAAAAAAAAGGGAACCTTGCTTCACCATAGAAATTTTAGCACCAGCAGAATAATCTACTCTGTAGGGGAAGAAGGGTGCTGTTTCTAATCACAATGATCAGTAACATGCACTTAGCATTTCAACATTAGTCGACCACTCCATGAAATATGTCCATATATTTTTATTCTACAGCAAACAAGTCTCAGCCTAGGCTCAGATTTTTAAAGATATTTCCTGGGAAATTAAAAAAAAAAAAAGATCTGTTGTCAGGTATATCAATTCTGATTTGGCCTAAGGCAGGAGAATTTTTAAAAACTTTCCCAGGAAGAAAATCACTACCATAAAGAAAAATTGTCCACCATGCCAACCAATTTGAAATTCCTGTTACTGTTATCTCAGTCATTTCCATACACATAAAACCCAATATATTGAATAGGTTTGTCTTTTAATCAACATTTAAGCAATTAAATTGTTTGAAATCCAGTGTGTTTTGAGAGTAAGCCATTCAGTGGACCTTGACATAAGTTTGGGGTTTTGTTCTGGATGTTGAGTGGAGTAAACACCAATAAAGATGCTTTCCTGAAACTAAAAAGTTAACACCTTCTCTTTTCTCAAGTTCTGCTCAGAAAGATACATAAATTTGAAAACCAAGATGCATGATTGACATTCCTGTCGGAGGCAAGTCCTCCTGAAGTTAATGTGAGATAAATGCCTTAGAAAGGATGGGTTAGAGTGGCCTTTGCCATGAATCCAGTGCCTCTCACTTCCAGCCAGACATCAAGAATAACTTAGATGCACAAACAAAAACATTTCTCATAGGTTTTTACCCTGAACCAATTAAATGATAATCTCTGGGTGGGGGTCCTAGCACTGGAATTCTTCCCAGTCTCCAATTTAGTCCAATGTGTGACTAAGACTAGAAACCTCAGGCCTCCTGCTACCTCAACACTTGGTGAGAAGAGACTAAAGGTATCCTGGGATGACAATGGGCTCAAAGTCCCACATTAGTGAACTTTTTTTACATGGTCCCAAGAAAGTTATATCTGGACCCAAGCAGAATTCAGTAAGTTGGGTTTTAGCTGTATCTCTCCCATTCTAAGTTCATATTGGAAAGTAGGCCCATGAGTTTACATGAACAAAACTTACCTATATTTTACAATTAAACTTATTATGAAAAGCAAATGTTTCCCCAGCATAGTTTGATTTCTCATCTCAAAAATCAAATTAACTTTTATCCCAGGACAAGTTAAAATGTTTTCTTCAGTAAACCCTCATCTTCTCAGTAATTCCCTCACCTCCTGCCACCCACAGCAATCATGAAGAAAGGATAATATTTTTCATTTATTTTCCAAACACTCTTACCAAGTTGTCAGCTTTCTTCTCAAAAAAGGTACTTCGCACTTTAGAAGAAAAATATTTGTGAGGGTCTTTTATCGAAGTTACCATAGCAAATACCACCAAGAATGGAAAATAAACAGGAGGGCAGAGAGATCTCAGCCCCCAGTCATCAGAACATGAACATGACAAACACTTAAAGCTTCAATTAGCCATTGTGAAAATTATAACTATTTTATTCCTTTTCATTTGCCTATTATCCCCAACTACAAAGCTCTTCTAGATTTTTCTACTTTACAAAAGAAGAGACTAAGAAACTGAAATCTCTTATTTTTATGAGAGTCATTTACTGGATTTGTGTGCATAAAATTGATAAATATGTTCACCATAAATGCAATATAATAGTACAGTTTTGCAACTGTGTAGTCTTTTTTTTACCACCCCTGGCAAATATCACATGGCTGATGCAACTTATGTTTTTATTTACTTTTTCTCTTTAGTCAGTATAGATTTTCAAACATACCTAATATGTAGTTTCCACCTTTGCTTGACTGAAATTACTGTCTATTTCAGGTCTAAAAGGCCTAGGTGCTGAACTCCAGCACTATTTTAGAATCTTGACAGTGATCCAGACTCACTGATTAGCATTTGTACCAAGTACCTATGTGGGTATGACATTTGTGCCTCTTGCCAATATGAGAATGTTAGGGACAGAACTCACAGAATTTTTGTTAATTCCTAACCCCCAGTGCCTCTGAATGTGACCAGTTTTAGAGACAGAACCAACAAAAAGTTGATTAAGATCAAGTGACGATGTAGAGTTAGGCCAGTCTCTAAGACCAGTGTCCTTATCAGAAGAAGGATCAAGACACAGTTTTAGATAGGAAACCATATGAGGACAGAGAGAAGACAGCCAACTGCAAGCCAAAAACAGAAGATGTGAGAAGAAACCAACTCTGCTGACACCTTGATCTTAGACATACAGGTTACAGAACTGTAAGAAAATAATTTTGTATTGTTTATACTGTTGTTTATACAATTCAGTCTGCAGCATTTTGTTATAACACGCTTAGGAAACTAATCTATAGCATTCCTTCATTAATATATAAATATTTTTTAAACTTAAGCCTACATCATCAATACATTGCAGTTTCTTGACATGTACCTGAGAGAAATCAATTATTTTGAAAACGGCTACTGTCTCTTATGCTATGATTAGAAAAAACTTAAGAATTTTGAAAAGTAAGATTATGATTCACTAACTGCAGAATGAAATTAGATCTGTATATCTCACCCTGCACACACATGAATTTAAACTGCATCAAAGACATTAAATTAAAACTGAAGACACAAAAATGAATATAGGAAAATACTTTAGGATATAAATATACACATGAAATTTCTAACTAGAACCCAAACAGTTAGAAAAAGCCTCAAGAATTCACAAATAAGATTACATGAAATTAAAAAAAAACTTCTGCACAGCAGAAACTAATAGCAAAAAGAACAGCCTACAGAGAGAAAAATCTTTGCCTGCTATGCTTCAAATAAGGGGTTAATATCTAGAATACATAAAGAATTGCAGAGAGCACCTGAATCAGGCCTCTCTGGACCACCTGCATTGGGCCAGGCTTCTCTGCTGGCTTCTAGGGGCCCAGACCTTAGGAGACTGCCTGAGAGCACCTGAATAGGATGCCCCAATGGTGAACTTCCCAATTTTTATTGTGCCCATCCCCCTACATTGAGATCACCTGCAGGCCCTCCACTGCCCCAGGCCCAGGCATCCCTGCTGGCTAGTAGGGACCCAGACTTTTGGAGACTTCCTTGAGAGTACCTGACTTGGCCCTCCACTTGCTGAGCTTCCCCTATCAGGCCTTGTCCATCCCCAGGATTGAGAACATCAGCAGTCCTTCCCACTGCTCCAGGACTTATGACTTCCCTACTGGCTAGTAGGGACCAACACTTCCATCCCCTACCTCCTTTCTTTGGACCTTAGCATTATCCATCTGAGGCTTCTGAAGTTCTCCTAACCAAACAGTCCTGCTTTGCCCTTTTGGAGTGCTCTTGAGTAGCCTGACTAGAGCCACCTGGTCCCTCCAATATAAATCAAAAGAGAGAACTTGAAAGCTAGACCAAGCAGCTGTTCATACCCAATGAGAAAGCAACCAAGATACACCAATAATGCAAACAGAATCAGATTTCAACTCAACAAAAGAAGGCTTGAGTTTAATGTCAGAACCAAAGCCAACAAAAGAAATCCACATGCACATGTGATGACTTTCATAGAAGAAAGAAAAGAAAAAAAGAAAGAAATCCATATGCCAAATTCATAATGGAAAAATTATATGAAAAACCGAAATAATATGTTCTCACCAAACAAGACCAGTTCTATAGAAGAATTTTACAATGAGAACCCAGAACACAGAATTTAAAAGAGGAATAATAAACATGATCAAAGAATTCAATGAATTTAAAGAACACACAAACTAAGAAAGAAATAAAAGTATTCCCTGGAACTAAATGAAAATGATAACATAATGTAACAAAACATCTGGGACACTTTAAAAGCAGTCCTAAAAGGGAAGTTTATAGCTAAAGTGCCTACATTAGAAAAGCAGAAAGAGCAAAAATAAATGACTTAACATTGCAATTCAAGACTCTGGAAAGGCAAAAACAAATGAAATCCAAATGCCACAGTAGAGAAAAAAAAAATAACAAAAATCAGAGCAAAAATTAATGAAATTGAAACAAAGAAAACAATAAAAAGAATCCATGAATCTAAGATCTGGTTCTTTGAAAAGCTGAACAAGACAGACAGATCCTTAGCCCAATTAACCAAAAGAAAGAAAGAGCAAATCCAATCAACAAAATCAGAGGCGAAAGGGAGGCATGACAACAGACATCAAAGAGATCCAGAACATTGCAAAAAAAAAAAAAAAAAAAAAAAAAAA